ACCTAAAATGTAAAAATCATAAAATACTACTTCTGTTATCTCAACACTGGAAACATTAATAATTGTACTAAGTGAAGCAAAAATGTGGTGATAATTCTTCTTTTTAACTGCTCTTACTGTTTAACTCCAGTGAGATTTGTCTTAGTTTCTTTGTGCTCCAAGCATATTGAGTATTACGAAAGAAGTCTTCTTTGTATGTGTCATCATCAAACATGCTTCCTCTCCACATGCAGACCGCTGCCCTGAGGGCTGTTGGGAACATTGTGACCGGCACAGACGAACAGACCCAGGTGGTGCTCAACTGTGACGCCCTCAGCCATTTCCCTGCGCTCCTCACCCACCCAAAGGAGAAAATCAACAAGGTAACATTCTCCGACTGTTTGTAAGAAACACACAAACTTTGTCAGTCATCTGGAAGTGATGAAAACAGAGACGTTGTGCAAGTGAGTGCTGCGTGAAAGGAAATAGATGGGGCAGATAGCTGAGAGCAGGAATTTAAAAGGTGCAGAACCACAAAGACGAAGAACCGAAGAGGACGCCAACAACTTCATACCTTTAATTAGTAGCATAGATTAGGGGTTTGATAAGGGGTAGTAGTGTGTCTGTGTGTACGGGTGTGATACATGGGTTGGTGGAGAAAGGGTGCTGAAGACCAAGCGTCTCTGCTGATATCGGAGTGCATCTGAGACCAGTCACGTAAAAAAAAAGAGGCCTCATTTTTGTGACTGGTCGATGATTATAGCCTCAAAGTCACCCTCTCCCCGCCCACTGCACTCTGTCTCAGCCGGGGGTCAAAACTCTGTTTCGACCCCTGGGTTCTGATCCAGCTCCCACTTGCTTTGTGATCAAACATACACTGAATCTCTGTGACATAGCACATCATTCTCATGAGAGAAAATCATCACTAACTTTTGTGTTTATGCTTTTGTCCTGTAGGAGGCAGTGTGGTTCCTGTCCAACATCACAGCAGGTAACCAGCAACAGGTGCAGGCCGTCATTGACGCCAAGCTGGTTCCCATGATCATTCACCTGCTCGATAAGGTTTGTATCCATTTAAAGTCAATCCTGTCTAATTACTTTCAGAGAGCTTCTGGGTGATGGATGGGTTGCTTACATTGAATGTATGTTTTAGGGTGACTTTGGCACTCAGAAAGAAGCCGCCTGGGCCATCAGTAACCTGACAATAAGCGGGAGGAAAGATCAGGTAAGCCTCTCCCAAACACATGAAAAGTGTACAAGAAATGGGAAGTCGTTGGTATTGAAGTTCTGTAAACATCATAATTCATAATATTTGCTGCTTTAAGAATAGGTTTAAGCTTAATCATTTTCATTGATGAGTAAAATGCTTCCTTAACGCGGTGAGTTATTGATAGTGCATCTCTGTGTCGTCTTCAGGTGGCACACCTGATCGAGAAGCAGGTGATCCCTCCATTCTGCAACCTGCTCACAGTGAAGGACGCTCAGGTTGTGCAGGTTGTTCTCGATGGCCTCAGCAATATCCTAAAAATGGCTGATGATGAGGCAGAAACTATTGCTAACCTCATTGAGGAATGCGGAGGTCAGTGTCACCTTTACCATCACAATTGTTGGTCTTAACTTGTTAACATCAGGTGTTAATGTGTAATTATGTTTTGTTTCACAGGTCTGGAAAAAGTGGAGCAACTGCAGAATCATGAAAATGAAGATATCTACAAATTGGCATACGAAATTATTGATCAGTTCTTCTCATCTGATGATGTAAGTTACTTAGGATATCTGCAGGTTTTTATTATTAGTTAGGCTTTCAAGTGATTTTAAAAAAGTCTTCACACTGATCAAATGAACCAAAGTTTGGAAGATGAACAGGTTAGCTCTGAGTTGTCACATATGGGGCTCCGGTTTGGCCCTTTTCACTGTATTTTGAGCCACAAATCATAGTGTAAGTCTGAAAATGGATCCTGCCAGTGTGGCTGTCCAAACTGCTAATTTGATTCGGGTCAGCGGTCTGAATCACTGTCAGCTTTAGGTCGTTACCATGGTGCTGTCATACCGCAAAGCAAGGTGGTTAATCCAAGGAGAAGTGCCAAAGTGATTGTTTGTATTGACAGTTCTTCTATTTAGGATGTAGATAAACTTTATTATCCCTGAGGAGCAAGTTGGCAAGACAGCCCACTTCCAGAAACCCAGAATCACATACCAGAATTCACAAAGTTAACTTCAATAAGTAGAGCTACGTAGACCCACTTTCTTTAGAAAGCTGCTGATGGTCCCTGGCTCAGGAACAGCGGCTGGCTATCGTCTTGACCCTAACGCCTCGTCTGCTGACTGTCCGCGCAGTGTTAATGCTCCTTTTACTTGTCTGTCTTTCAGATCGATGAAGACACCAACCTGGTCCCGGAGGCCATCCAGGGCGGAACTTACGGCTTCAACTCAGCCAACGTGCCAGCCGAGGGATTCCAGTTCTAGACGGCATCTGGGGTATTCTGGAGTTTTGTTCACGATGCAGCACTCTGTTCAACATATAAAAAATTAGGAGAGAAAGGGCGAGAGAGAGCGAGTGTGAGAAATTTGATCCATTGTGCTTGGCTCGTGGGATCCATGGCTGCATCTTATCTGAAAGAAAAATATGTGGATTTCATTTGGCATTCCAGGGGAACCAGCCCAAATGAAGTTTGAGATGGCGAGTGGGTGCGAGTGAGAATGAGTGGCTACATGTTGCAAAAAAAAGCAAAACATCTACATCGAATGTGTTGAGAGACATGCCGACATAACTTCTGTGTTATTGGAGCTGTCGTCCTCAGAAAACTACTTCAAATGACAAGAAAAACGAAAATAAGAAAAACTCCATGTCTGCCCAGGGAGAACCAAGGACATTAAAAAAAAAAGAAAATCAAGTGATCTTGAAATATTACAATACAGCAAAATGCAGAAATGATTATAACTATGATTATGAACTGAGATGAACAACAAACCATCACAATTCTGCGGTCCTCCGACTAGAGAGGGCGCCAGCCTCAATGTGCCCCTCCCCCAATCGGCCACGCTATCAGACATGTGTGTGAATGGACCCATTGTGTACGAATGTCTGGACTCAGCGCTGAGGAGCCAGGTTCATCTCCTCCAACGAGACGCCCCCCCACGCGGGGCGCAGTCCTCTCCCCCTGGTGGGCGGGGCCAGGAGTCCGGCTGCGCGTGTTCGCATGTTGCGAGAGAGTGGACGGATGAGTCGTGTGTGCTTGGCTGCGTGCGTGAACTGGGAGTGTGCGAGACTGGGTGAGAACGCATGCAGAGATGAGGAAAAATGAAAAAACAACCAACAACAACAAAAAAAGATACAAAAACATCTGAAGAGAAGAGAAAATTGCAACAATGAGGTTCGCAAAGGTTTCAGGAAGAAATTCTGCCTTTGAGAGGCTGATCTGCGAAATCCCTGAAAGAAGGAACTGTGGATATGAGAAAACCATCGTCGTCACCAGGATTTTGTTTTTGATTTATTAAGTTAGTATTAATTGACACTGGACAATGTTATTGGCAGGTGTGGAGCAGCAGTGCATTGTATTAAGATGCATTTGGTGGCTTTTGGGCTTTTTTTTTTTTTTCTTTTTCTTTTTGCCTCCAGTGTATTTTCTTTTTCTTTCTTTTTTCCTTTTTTTATGACTTTGTTTTCCAGCTTTTAGTTTCATATCGCTTCTGTAAAGGTGATTGATGACCATCGTACTCCATCCTCACACCACATCCCTAACCTACACACCAGATATGGGCTTGATGCTGTGAAATTGTTGACACCTTCACTTTATAATCAACCAAATGACCCGTTCCTCCTTGTAACTCCTTTATTTCCCCCCACTCCCACCCCTTTTCCCTTCAATTAACAGCAAAATCACTGCTTTGCAGTACTGTTGCCATAGCTTTGATTGTCACCAAGGGAGAAGAGGACAATGGCCATTTCACGTGGGATTGTGAATCATAACCTTTGCATGTACTAAACTATAGCACAGTTATTTTTTTAGGGTATTTTAGTTTCCTTAGGCTGTGGATACAGTGTAATTTTCATTTTAAGTAAAACTGTGCTTAAATGTTACATGTTTCTCCTTCCCCTTTTCCCTCACTAGTGTCTGATTTGCTAAATAATCTATATGGTTTTTGCACATGTACTGCAAAGTGAGGCCTGACGTCTTTCTGAAGGTGTGCTGGTGGGTTTTTATAGGTTTTGACCTGCCAGCAAAATCTCAATATGCATCACTCACTCAACCACAATCTGTTGTCTTTCAAGAGTAATCCAAGGATGCTTTTAGTGAGAAAATGAGTTTATTTCAGGTGGTTTAACCTCCCCCACTTTTTTTCCCTCAAGGTCAGAGGGTGTCCCACACATCAGACTGGAGTATGTGGGTTTTCCTGAATAATATATAAACCCATGAACAAGTTTGCTGTAACTTTAGTACCTGAGTCCTTTAGCCCCAATACTCCCCTTTCCTCTTTCTGCCAGCTAGGTGTACAAGCTTACCCCTTTCATTTTTTTGTGTTAACTTCAAACACTGTAGTAATGATTACACATTGTGCTCATAAATAAGCCTTCTGTTTGAACATAGGGGTATTTTTTTTTTGCAGCATTCCTTGTTAGCAAACGTGGTTTCAAATTTAAAATTAAGACTTGGAAAGAAAAAAATAAATAAATGAATGAGGTGGCTTCCCCCCAAAAGCAAACTCATTTTTCGGGGGAGATAGGATACAGGATAGGTTGTCTTCGAGAAAATAAATAGTGAAACCCAAATCGAGAGACTGCGTGTGTGTGTGATCTGTTGTGTCCCTGATAATGTCTTCGCTTCTCCTAACGGTTACAATTTTTCAAATTAGGGGAAAATCGAGTCCTGATTGGCCAGAGAGGAACCTTATGCTCGTGCGTGATACGGAAATAGCGGCGCTATCGGAAAAATGGATGACCGTGAAAAGGGTTTTTTAAAAATGCATAATTGCGAAAAAATAGCCTCCGCTTATTATTATTATTATTTATTTATTTACGAGCATGCGCTCTAGAAGTCTAGCGCCTTTTCCCGTTTTCTTTCTTTCATCGCTAACAGGATTTAAGGGAGTACACGTGAACGCAGCACGCGTAGGAGCTGACAGGAAGTGAAAGCTCTGTTGTTGGACAGACGCTTTCTCCCAGCTGACGGTGAGTTTGGTCTTGTTTTTGTTTTGTTTCTTTTAAACAGGAGATTTCTACACGAAAAGTGGTGCTTAAGTTGTTAAAGTTTGTGGGTTTTTTTTTTTGTTTTTCTTTTTCACGCCAAAATTAGAATCAGCAGATGAGGAAAATTAGTTGCTATTAAATTAGTGACCGCAACTGCTGTGTGGCTAGCACAGTTAAGTTAAAAACATTCGGGTAAAGAGCACATTTTAATAATGTACACTGTTTTTAACGTGTTACTACTTTTTCCACACACATTAAGAATGTAATATATGACACATGAGTGAAAAGTGAACTGTAGCAGTCTCTGCCGCTACTTTACACCTCGGTGTAGATGGTTTTAAAGTAATGCTTTTGGATGTACACTTCCATACGTGGAGGAGACCACGTTTGGCTTGATGTCGATTCTCCGCGGGCAGCTGGACATCGGTCACCTGTTTGAATCTGGGCGCCAAATTGGCCCCAGTCAGACTCCGTGTATGGATCAGGTTTTGTAGGGGACAGATGAACAGCGTGTCCTCACAACAAACTCGGTCTCTCTCGCTGTGTATATGTGTGTGTGTGTGTGTGTTGGACTGGGTGGGTGCTGGCAGAGGGCCTCCTATTGTCGCTGCGGTCCTGGCTGTAACAGGAGGAGAGAGCACACGAACACTACAATATAACCGATCCGGTAATAAGAGCTGAGCCCTTTTTTGGCTGTTCTTGTTTTTCAGTGAATGATCAGCTCTTTCTCACATTGGTTAGATTTGAACGTGTTTATATGATAAGTAGTAATTATACACCCAGATTACTTTATCGGGTAATCTGAGGCACTCTAACACAATATTCAACTTTTCTTTTTTTTTTTTTTTTTTTAAATGTCAATAAATTATTTAGCACTAAGACTGTAGTTAGGACTGTTTTACTAACCTGTGTCATCTCCAGTGACACTGCGGCAGTGTGGCAAACCCTTCTCAGTGATCTGAAAATACATTCTGAGCTAGATCCTCAGGTAAAGGTTTTGGCTGGTTGCCTTTAGACCCACCAAAAAAGGAACTGTCCCTAACCAGAGTGTTTTCATAGGTATTCTTATGAAATGCTAGCAGGGGAGACTGTTAGTATCAGTGCTGAGCTATCAGGCGAGGTAATAATGCCTTTTTAATATGATAGCCTAACTTGAGGATTAATATGGGCGCTAAGAGAAGAACTGTGGGACTGTATGAGGGGGTCAGGAGTGTGGTAGGAGTGGCAGATGGCTTCAAAGTGGAGGTGGGATTATGTCCAGGATCTGCTCTGAGCCCCTTCTTGTTTGCAGTGGTGATGGTCAGGCTGACAGATCTCTGTGAATTGTGATGTTTACAGGCAACATTGTGATCTGTAGTGGGAGCAGGTAAGACATCCTCGGTGGAGGTGTTCTCTGGAAAGAAGAAGAACGCAAGACATTACATGCGTATGAATGAGAGCTAGACAGGTGTAACAGTGAAGGTGGATGAGTTTACATTAGGGCTGCCACAAACGATTATTTTCATAGTCGACTAGTCACCAATTATTTTTGCGATTAGTCAACTAATCAGATCATGCATCCATTGAACGTAAAACGTACAGCTTATTGCACCAGCATGCATCTGCTCTTGTATAACTATCATTAGCTTACAGCTTTAAGTGTTTAAGGTAGCCTATGTGCTAACTAAAAATAAAGACAAGATGATAGTTTATTAAATTTAAATGAAATTTACAGATTGTTTCGGTGGAGCTTAATAAACGCAGCCGTCTGCTCCTTGCTATCTAAAATGTAACAGGACACCGGAGTATGTTCTTGAGCATCTCAGGCTTCTGATAATCAGTTGTCTGCTTGATGTTTATTCAGCTGTGTAAAAACTATAACTTTAATCTCAGCCAAACCGATTTACTCATGAACAAATAAAATACTGAAAAAAGCCAAACAATAACATTTTTAAGTTATCTAGGTGACTTACATATCATGTTTAACCTGAGTAGCGAAAGATGGGCTTGAAAACGATTTGCCGGGAGTCCGGTGTTCTCACGGGCTCTAGTGAGCCTTGCCCCCGGCTAG